GAAGGAAGGCAAGTGATTCGACCTGGAGTCCAATCTGAAACTTCCCGGTTCGGAGTCTAACATTCTAACGAGTGAGCAGTCCGGGTGAACGAATATATAAGTAGTCGATTGGTCTGCCAGCCTGCCATCCATTCCGTCAATTAGTCAGTAAGTATCGGATACTCTTTCTCATTTAGGATCGTTTAATACATGCCTAGTAGTACAGGATATCCAAGGAGAATGATATCGATTTCGTTTTAAAAATGCAGCGATTGCGGGTGTATGACGCTTGAGTACAATGCAGGAACCTGGGTGCTGCCGTTTACTTTGGTGTGAACTTTTAAGAATAATTGCCAAAGTCAAAAAGTCACTTTCTGGCTGATGCAGCGATTATATAACAACGTTACTTATCATTTTGCGAAAGTGTAGAAATTTTCATCACTGCAATGGTTAACAATGACTGAACACCGAAGATGAACTGGGAAACCACTGAACTTTGTCGTCAGACGTCTTAAGTATTAATTTCATTATTAATTTTACTGTTTTTATGTTCCGTGTCAATGAAGATGTTCATGTTAGAAAAGAATTTCGTTGCCTTAGATTCGAGCGTCATCAAATAATATCTTTTCAGGTGATCGTCGATCTAAAGGAGCAACTAAGGGATTTGATGATTCATATCGAAGCTGAAGCGGAGTTGCGCAAAAACGCTACCTCGGCAGAGCTTGAAGAAATACGTCAAGGCCAGTTGAACGTGCAACCTTCGCCTTCAGTGCGTCAACTACCTAAGAAAATTCACCGCCGGAAAAAATGATTGAAGGTCGTCGTCGTTATTACACCACGTCACTCAAAGAAAATTTTAAATGCATTTTCGGTGTGCGCTGGAAGACGGGCGACAACGTATTCTTTCTGACGTCATGCCCTCGTCGTTCCCTTTTGCGTCTGCGTCGCGTCTTTAGTGTGAGATTGCGATTGTCAGCAAATATTCAAGTGTCACGTGAAGATTTTTCGATATTTGCCAGTCGGTAAGATATATGGCTGGCTGATGTTCTGAAGTTATTAAAGTTAACACAGTTCTTCTGTTAAATAACAGCTTAATAGTTTCGTTATAGCCATTTGATTCATTTCTCACCTGTGCTTACGGATGGTTTGTAGCCGAACCATTCAACGGGTGATTTACGTGACGCTCACTGAGTGCACATTTACGTACACTTCATGGTTTCTGTCTTCTTGCTTCTAGTAGCCTAAAGGGACCATTTAAGCAGGTTACTGCTCCTAGGTATTTGACCACCTGCACTGCCAGATGCGTCCCGCATTCAACAGGTGATTTACGTGACGCTTACTGAGTGCACATTTACGTACACTTCATGGTTTCATAACGCATGAAAGCTTACTGGTTAGGAATTGGATTGTCAGAGATTCGAGTTTTTCCGCATAAAAAAGGAAACTACTTAGAAATTAAGAAATAAATCAATGACGGTATAATCAGGGCAGAAAAGATTATGACAGCCTGCTAGCTTGCAGGCACTCACATAAAATATCAGAGCGTGCTTCATGTTCAGGCTCTTCGGAGCATTCGAGATCATGAGTCTGAACAGATGCCTGAACTGTCAATGAGCTTCAATGAACTGCAGCAACGGAACACCGAGGATCATGTTCCGCTGGTATTTTCACACTTGAAACTTTTGAAAATGGCGTATAAACGAGTAGCCAATTGATCAATAAGTATATCAAGACATAATTGACGATTTCATAGCATACGGCAGTGAGCACTCACAGTAATGGTAGGTCCGGCATAATTATAATTCAGCATTCATAATTACTCCCCTTGTAAAGAAGTAAATTGTCTGTACTCTTATTCCTAAGGTTGATTATGTTAGTGGCATTGACGCAACGAGACACAACAGCAACAGTTTCGAGATTGGACCTTGATGAGGCATTCGTTTGCGTCTGATTTCACCCTCCCTGGGTTGTGGTGTTTTTCTGACTTGCTATTCACAGATTTTCTTTGTTACAGGTTGTGTATGTGGTTATTCTTCCAATCATACTATAAATTTGCTTTGTCTAATTTTGTTCATCATATTGTAGTGTCCTGGCACAATGTCTAAGAGATGCGGTTCAAAATCCGGAGGTACGGGTTCGATTTCCCTTGAGGACAATCTTTGTTTCATTGTCGAGTTCCTTTGAGCGTAGAATTTATCATTCACAGTTTCAGACCGAGCTTGCCCAGTCAGTACAGCGTCGAACTAAGAGCCGAAAGGTATCGGATGAGTCACTCACCCTTTCCTTTCCAAGTAAGTACCATTATGTGGGAAAGAAACTGGAGTCTAGATGCTACGCTTGCCATATGACTGTAGACTCTGCCTTTAAATGAAGGCACTCTTGTCTGATGTCGTATAATCGAAGATCAGTACCACCAACTTCATGAAAAGAAAGGCGCAATCGTGAAAGTGAAGGAGGACCGACAAACTTTCCTTTCTATCATCACTTTCTCAAGAAATTCAAAGAACTTTTCCACCTAGGGGTTCTTGCATCTTGACATGAATCAACTGACTTAAGATATTTGATCTAAGGTATTTGAGATCAGATGTTTGAGCCTTGTCAGTGGAAGGTGCTTCATAACTTCATAATGAATTTAAATCTATGCCTACGTCATTGTTCATGCTTTGATTTGTGGAACTACTTAGTCTTTTCTTAAATTTCGGTTTAGAAACATTCTCTCGGTGTATTCCCTGACATTACTCAGGGATAAGAACCGTGAGGAGGTCCCCTGTAATACTGGCTAACTGTAATTTATGGTATTGCTATTATCAAACGTTAGGCTGGCTTACTCATTGCCTGGGTTACAAAGGGTCGCATAGACTGCTCGGGAAATGAAAAAGGCTGCGTAATGTCGTCGATTAGAATTTGCTTCCAGCCTTCTGGCAGCTGCAGGCGTAGCAGCACAGCGACGGCTGCCGTAAATCAACAAAGAGGCGACAAAGATACCAGTCAGCAACGCAACCGCTACCCGTTCTGGACGGATCAGACAAACCGCGCAATGCCATTATAGCACGTCAGGAAAGGCTCCATCCGACAATGGGAGCTCACAGAGAACATCTCCTCACTCATAGGAAAAGAGCTGGAGGTAGTTGTTGTTGCTGAAAAGTACTGACTGGAAATAAACTCTTGTCAACGAAGCGCCAGGGTTCTGGAATTCTGAATTTCTACTTGTGGAAGCTATTCTGCTTCTACTAGGGTTATAAGCTCACAACATGTGTTCAGGACGGAAAAGTGGCAATCATCCGCATGAATTCCAGCAGGTATGTCCTCGTTTGAAGCACATGTGCCCAGTTTGGACAGAGAAGAGTTCTTTCTGGAGGAAGCAGAAGGTGTTCTGTACGAATTTTGACCATGGAATCCATCACTCAAATGGGCAATTTTAATGCGCAAGTAGGAGTAGATGCTAAAAAGTGAAAAGGTGTGATTGAA